TAAGACAGACGATATGAACAGACAATTAAATGCCATGAGATGGGAAAAAAGTGACAAGGAACCAAAATTCTGAAACTGTGGAGCTGAAGGCCACTTACGAAGGAACTGCAGAACACCCTAGGGTACGGAAAATAAGACCATTTCCCAGCAACGACGCAGGAAACAAATTAATGACCATATCGAGAAGCAGAGGTTGCCAGATAATGAAAAACCCTGTTCTAAAACGCTCAATATTTTTGCAGTGAGTGGCAACAGTAACGGACTGTCCATCAATGGGCATATCGATGGAGTTCCTTGCAATATGATCATTGTCACAGGAGCTAATGTTACCATCAGTCGTAAAGATTTAGCTCAACAATTGAAAGATAAACTCATTTGGACGCCATCCTGTGTTATCTCCAAACTGCGTCTGGTGATAAAATCGCCATAGATGGGAAGTTAAACATTAACATCAAGTTTGGAAGTGCCGCCTACTATCAAACGGCATATAGGTATATGTGGAAGATATTACAGATCCCTGCATACTCGGATTGGACTTTTTAAGGATATACAATTGTTCCTTTAACTTCAAAAACAACAAAATGTTTTCAGTCTCAGAGGCCGTAACTACCCATCATCAGAAGGGATTCTCACCTGGAAACACCGACTCCTTGTCTGAAAGACCCTGTTCAGAAAGCTAGGGTATACGAAATAAGGAATACTATGGTAGAAGAGAAATACGAGATTACCGGCTATCCTCCATCCCAGATGCTCATCAGTCGTAGCTTTCATCTGCCTTGTGATCTTTTGTTTGATCGCCCTCCGGATGCGCCTTCATCGCCTGAGGAGGATATTTAAGATCTCAGGAGGAACCTTGTTCCGGTTTGAAGTGATGCATAACTTTGCGGCGAAGAAGATGAAGACGCGATTCGACACAAGAACTGCACATCGATACAAGGAAGGAGACAATATGTGGTTGAGGAATCCGAGTCGACGGAAAGGACTCTGTCCGAAATTACAGTCACCATGGAATAGTCCGAATACAGTCCTAAACAGGCTGAAGGACGTCGTGGTTCGGATCCGTAAGTCTTCGAACTCTAAACCTAAAGTCGTTCATTACGACAGGTTAGTTTCTTACTATGACCATAGTATAGGGTGATCAGCGAATAAGCCCTGATTTCAAAATTAAATATCTCTACAACAAATATCGATAGAATTATGCGGTAAACTGTACGTTTATTAGCAACACTCTAAAAATGTTGTACAAAAGTTTAGAAAATTTAGTTACGAAAGTCGTTAACAGATGGCGCTCTAATCGCAATGACCTATAAATAGCCTTTAAAAATGGGCTTCGAATTCGAATGTGAGTACGAGTGTTGGCTAGTAAAAAAAGGCTAGCGTAGAAAGTGAAATAATGTATTCCATTGAAAAACATGTTTTTTTTTTTTTTTTTTTTTTTTTTTTTTTTTTTTTTTTCTTGTTGTTGTTGTTGTTGTTCTGCCAATTTTCACGATTAGAATACAGTCCTACGGCAACATTCGCAGTTTTCAAAACCGATTCAATTTTCCAGTTGGACCCGATACGAAAATCCACTTCGCATGCTCTTCGCGAAATTCGAATGGACTGGCAGCCTGGCTGATGATCGAAAGGGAAATGTCGGGTCCTAAGGCAAACTATAGTCACTCCTGAAAATGCAGCTAAAGTTTGTTCAAATTGCAAAGTAAAAATCCTTAGGAAAAGCATCCGACAGGATTGCATCAGAGACAGGTTTGAAAGTACACGAGCACGCAAAAAATATTATAAAAATAGCCTACAGCTGTTTCCATACAAAATCCAAAGTCATCAGGCCATACCCATGAAAGCTGGACAACAAAGGGTTGACTTTGCAAATCAGATTCCAACAATGGTCGACAATGACAGATTTCATGTGAGCTGCATCTGGTTCACAGATGAGGCACATTTTTATTTGAATGAAATCATTAATAAAAAAAAATGGAGATTTGGGGATTCCGAAAATCCTCATTCGTATGAAGAAAAAACACTGCATTTACCTAAGGTTACTGCATGGGCTGCGGTATGCGCCAGAATCATTATCGGACCCTTTTTCGTACGAGAAACGATAACTACTGAACGTTACGTTACAATTTTGGAACAATTTGTCAGCACTCAACTAGCGTTGGAGGATCGACCAGGTTCATGCAAGATGGGGCTCGACCGCATCGAACAGATAAAGTTTTTCGCTTTCTTCATGAATACTTTGGGAATAGAGTAATTGCGTTAGATTATCCGCAATTTACTGACACAGGAATAGCTTGGCCTTCCTATTCTCCCGATCTGAGGCCTTGTGACTTCTTTCTGTGGGGAGCATTAAAAGACACTGTCTATCGAAACAATGCCGCTACTCTAGATGAGCTTGAATCGTTGATTGGTGTTGCATGTGATTCCATTTCCGTTGAGACATCGCAAGACGTGATGTAAAATTTCATTGTTCGTTTACGCCACCTTATTGTTCCGAACAGTGACCATTTTGAAAAAATTGTATTTTCATTGCAAAGGCTGCTTCACTTTATTTTGTTTTTATTTCACTCTTTTCAGGAAAAAGAGTTTTCAGCGCAGAGCGCCATCTGTTAACGATTTTCGTAACTAAATTTTCTAAACTTTTGTACACCATTTTTACAGTTTTGCTAATGAACATACAGTTTACCGCATAATTCTATCGATCTTTGTTGTAGAGATATTTAATTTTGAAATCAGGGCTTATTCGCTGATCACCCTGTATGTAGTGTATATAATTGTAAATAGAATAATAAATATTGGCAATTATATATAATACATACTATTACAATTGTATATGGTAATTGTATATAATTGTAAATATATATACTACATACTATTACAATTACCATCATCATCAATAAGATCATGGTCCCTTTTGTTTATAAATTTAGTATTTGGTTTGACTTGTATTTAGTATTTGATAGTATTTGATTGAGTTACTTATTGCAATTACTGCTTATGTCATTTGTTATTGTAATGTAATGTTTGTTATTGCATTTTTGTGTTAGTTGTAAGTTTGGCTTCTTGTCTAGGGATTGTACTCCTCGGGACGTGCAGTCCTTGGGAAGGGGCAGCGTTACGGATTTTGTATTTATTTAGCAACTTTTACTAGAATTTGTAATTAAAATTGTTTTATATTCCCGTGCAATGCAGCAAGAGATTTATTTGAAGAGAAAGCTACGCCGGGAAAATTAAAATACAGGGGCACGCGCATTTAACATTTTAATAAATAATTATCTCGTAATTGTACTCTTTTGCTATCCAGAAAAATCGAGAAAATACAGTAATGTTCTAGTTCATTATTAAAAAGCTGGAGGAAAGCATCTCAGTTTAGTTGTTTGCTTAGTGCTGTTATTGATTGTAGCGAATTCGCGGTGAGATCGGAAGTTTAAAATATAACTACTGTGAGATATTGCGATACTATACGAATATCTCTGAGGAAATTTCAGCATTTTGTCTTATTTCTTGAGATAAGAATAAATTTTATTAACTTTTTATCGACTTGTGCATTCAATTTACGAACCCGTACGCACACAACAATATATATATATATATCACTTGTCTAAAAATATTAATTACATCGTTATATTATTTATACGTTTTTAAATTGTTACCACATTTTTACATAATAATTAAACAAGTAAAATTATATACAGATAAATAAAGTTATTTGACATTCGGTTTTATTTTAGTGGACATTCTTTTACCCTGTACATTTTCGCCTTCATTAGTAGCAGTTATTATATGGAAGACAAGTGCCACAAAGAGAAACAAATACCAACGAATTTTCAAAAACTTAACCAATAGCTAATCAATAACGTGCCGTGTAATGAAAGGAAAATGAAAAGTAAAGAGGAGAAACAAAGCAAATGATCGTGTAAATGTTTTTCGTGATAATTCTATATTAATAGCTTAGTAAAGTGATTATTATTTGGCAATATAATGGCATGTTTACTTTCTCTGGTAATTTCTGCGTTTCTTAATCTACCTCGAAATGTATAAGGTATATTTCTCCCACCTTCTTGGCATGCCTTCGTGGTGTAGAGGTTCTGAACGCTGGGCTGGTATTCTAAAGGACCTTGGTTCGATTCCTGGCGAAGGCGATTGCTCATTTTTCATCCCTCCGGCTTTTCCAATTAACTTAATTACTCTACAGTGGCGCCCAAACTAAAAGGGTGTTGGATGATGATTTCTCCCCACCCAGAATTTGGCGATTGGGTCCCCTAAAAAATCTCAGTCACTCTTTAAAAGGGGGAGGATATAAGGTATTTTTCCCACCTTCTTGGCATGCCTTCGTGGTGTAGCGGTTCTGAACGCTGGGTCGGTATACCAGAGGTCCGCGATTCGATTCCCGGCGAAGGCGATTGCTCATTTTTCACCTCTCGGGCTTTTCTAATCAACCTAATGATTCTACAAATGGACCCCGATTGACAGTTAATCTGCTTATAAACTGATGAGAAACTTGGGTTAGAATTCAAATGGTTTACTAATGTAGAAAGACTTTTATAAACATTGAAAGCCTCAAGGGAATCTCTTCATTTGATTGCAACTGAAGAAAGTACTGGTGTACAAAAGATGAAGAAAGTACTAGTATAAAAAAGTAGAAGCACTTATGCTAAAATAAAACTGAACGCCAAATAACGTTGTTGATCTATATTCATATCACCAGATATATTCAAGTATTCACTAATATTTTTGAACCACCGACTTCATTTTTCAAAAGAAAAATCGCACAATTGTTCGACCAAATTGCAAATCTTGAAATACTTTTCCATTGATCATTTTCTATTGGCAGTAACATTTGTGCATGTTTAGATGTTATTGTTACTATTAAAGTACCTGAAAATTCATATATAAACAATTACTTTGCAATAATCACAAATTTTATGAATAGGACATAGAAAGTTTAGTAAATTTTACTGTATTTTCATGTAAACTCAAAGAGCATTCATTTCTTCATCTAGAACGGCAACTGCCCGCGGTAAAGCCGAACAGGCTGATATAGCAGCTCTCCATGCTCAGGAGGATTCAAACATTGCCAGACTAATTGCCAAGCAGTTTGATCCAGATGCCAAAATGCCAGGTAAGAAATTCGTTCTCCACGTTTTATTTTTCAGAGGCTTCTTACAGAAGCGAGGTATATCTTCGAACTGTAGCTTCCACACCGCTGAAATCATTTTTAGAAAAAGTACGTAATTATCTTAATGTCGACATACCCTACAAACGTTATTTGACAGCAAAAACAAATTGACAATCTTTTTTTTTTTTTTTACAGAAATTGTCTAGAATGCTGTAGTCAATATCTAAGACATTCAAAAATATAAGTATTATTAATGTACGTAAAATTTAGCGATAAATTCAAACAACAATAGTAAATACTTATATTAATTAATCTTACAATATAAAGAACATTAATTTATGTATACTTTCAGTGTGTTGATTATTGCGTTATTTTTGTTCTTATGTGCATTTATAGATAATATTTCTGTCTTTTTTTTTGTGTTCTGATTAATGTCAGTCTAAAATGATCCATGAATTGAATAAACATAAATTATTTAGAGTGGAATTTCTTTAAGAAAGCTGCGATGTTTACTTGAAGTTTAGAATGTCTAAAGTATTTCAAACGAATCATGTGAGTAAACTCTATTTAGCGTGGAAATGTTTAAAAAAAGCGACATTTTCTGTTTTAAGATAGATGTAAAAGGTTTCATGGGAATCATATACGACCTGCTTGTGCCGGCTAGGAGGATCGTGTCCTTATAATAATAATGAATAATAATACAACAACTGTATATAGTAATTGTAATAGTATGTAGTGTATATAATTGTGAACTACTATTTGGTCCTTTGTCCTTTTTGTTTATAAATTTAGTACATGGTTTGACTTGTATTTGATAGTATTTGATTTGATTTAAGTTACTTATTGCAATTATTGCTTACGTCGTTTGTTATTGTAATGTAATGTTCGTTATTGCATTTTTGTGTTAGTTGTAAGTTTGGCTTCTTGTCTAATGATTGTACTGCCCGGGACGTGCAGTCCTTGGAAAGGGGGCAGTGTTACGGATTTTGTATTTATTTAGCTATTTTTAGTAGAATTTGTAATTAAAAATTGTTTTATATTCCCGTGCAATGCAGCACAAGACTTATTTCAAGAAAAAGCTATGCCGGAAAAATTAAAATACAGGAGCATGCGCATTTAATATTTTAATAAATAAATATCTCGTAATTGTCCAGAAAATTCGAGAAAATATAAGAATGTTCTCGTGCATTAATAAAAAGCTTATAAAATCTGGAGGAAAATATCTCAATTTAGTTGTTTACTTAGTGCTTTTATTGATTGTAGCGAATTCGCGGTGAGATCGGATTAGCCTTCTTTCTGTTTTTGAATTGAGTTCTATTTAAAGTTTGTCTTAGTCATCAGGAACGATGTACTATTTTCTTCGGACTGCAGATGGCATGTCTTGTATGTACACTACTCTCTGATTTATAAGAATATGCTTTGTATCTGCGATGGAAAACAATAAACAGTACTTTCGTCTTCCAAGACTTATATGCGTAATGGCTAGGACGTATAACTGACTATAAAACCTTTCAAAAATCAAAGTAAAATTAATTATTATATTAAGATTATTATGTTACATTTAGCTAAATATTTACATCATCAAATTAAACTAGGGGACAATTAAACTAGGGGAAAGAATTATGAATGTTTTCTGAAACATAGCACATTTTATGCCTTTATTAGTGTTTCGGCCACCAGAGCTCTCTGCCTGTCTGTGAGATATTATTTCGCAATGCGCAGATTGTATGTGCAGCTCGCATTTTGTTCTTGCATTCTTGCGAATGCTAATTGTAACTCTGTCGCTTTACTTTGTGCTGTGTTGTGTTCGAAAGTTCAAACTGCCGAATAAAGGTTAATCTACAGCCCACTCGCATTGATGTATTCTTATGTTTATTAATTTAAAGTTAAGATACCGCAAAGCTACAATCTTCTGGTTCGTAGAGCCGGAGCTTCGAAGAAAAACCACGCTTGTGAATAAGAATTCTACGTGTTCGTAATGGTGTTCATAATGCACTTTCGGTTTAGAATTCTCAAGAGTTTCGCAATGGATACCGTGTAACGAGGTGAGGTGAAATAGTTAAAACGCATTTTAATTGCATTTGACATTTCGTTATTGCTACTTTTTGTGATTAAAGTATTAGTAAAATCGAGAATTTAGATTTTTTTCAAATGTCAGATAAGAAAAAAACGAAAGAAAATTTTGAAAACACAGTTAACGAAATTCATCGAGAATAATTATGATAACTTAAATAATGCTGAATCTGAATTAATATTAGAAAAATGTAAAATCTTAAGGAAGATTTAAATCTCTATTTAGAGAAATTTATACAAATTGTGATGATGATAAAATAGACACTTTGTTGAGGAAGAAACAATCGATTTTAGAGAAAATTGGGAGGTTCAACTTAAAATTATTCGTAAGTTAAAGGTTTACAGGTCGTAAATGCAAATGGCGACAAACCTGTCGTACCTGAATCATCTCTGAAAGTTTTAAGTTACCGAAAATTATCTTTACCCCCATTAGCGGAAATTTAACTGATTGATAACATTTAAAGATTTATTATTTAACGCTAGTGTGTTCGCAACAATCCAAATCTTTCTGGAGCTCAAAAATTACAATATTAAAGAGTTCTTTGAAAAATGATGCTTATCGCATTATTCAGTCAATTCCCATAGCTGATCAAAATTTCAAAAATTTGGTATGCTTGAATTTACTAGAAGAGAGATTTTCTAATAAGAGAGAACAGATATTTGCTTTTATTAAAAGAATTCTCAACGTTTCACAATTACAAACGGAATCTGCATCCTCGATATTAAGTATGTAAACGAAATAACTCGCTCATTGGAAATATTAGATCAAAGAATAGATCATTCTAGTGATACTTTGTTGATGTATATTATTTTGCAAAAACTTGATGTTTCGACAAAGTTGTGGTGGAAGCGTCAATTAAAAAAAAGACGAAATACCAAAATTGAATGACTTAATAGAATTTTTGAAGAATTACGCTAGAACATTACAGAACAGTAACCTTTATTAATAAACACATAAATCAATAAATGGTATATAGGGTACTTCCTGATTACTAATTCTAATTGCTTATTTTGTAAAGAAGTCATTTTTTATACGGTGTTCTAATTTTTTAAATTTACCAGTGCAAAAAAAGAATAGAGTTAAGACTAAAAATCTTTGTTTTTAATTGCTTGTCTAATGTCCAAAGTTAAAAAATGTGTTAGAGTACAAATACCCTGCAAGCATTGTTTTAAGCATCATATAGCATTTTGCATTAGAAAATAATTTTAAAAACCGAAAATGCATCTGATTCCCTTCACCGGACCACAAGTGTTTTTTCCGAAATCGCAAATTAAAAACCAGAAAACAGCTGAGTGAGTTTTCTCCAACTGTTTGTGTTGCAAACAACTATGAAAATCAACCTTTTGGAGCCATGATAATGGTAAACGTAGTCATGTACTTTTTGTGTACTGCTTTAATTAAGGTTCAAAACTCAAAAAATGAATTCAAAACTGTAGATGTTTACTAGATTCAGGTAGTGAAAAATTATTCATTCGTCGGAAAATAGCTATAAATTTAGGATTGGCGTAAAGGAGTCAAAGATATTAGTGTCATGCTTAGGTACTTTCAATCCAACTAACTACTGGAGAAGTTGAGTTGTTGTTTACAACCTCATTTTAATACTATTACAGAATTTCAACGTCCGCTTACATAATAGACAAAATTACAGAACATTATAAGTGTAACATTACCTTTGAATTTATTGAAAGTTTCCAAGATTTACTTTAAGCGATCCTAACATTTCATGAATCGGGAAATTGATATTTTGCTTGGAGTTAATGTATTCCTTACTTTAATCAATGGCGAGTAATAAAAGGGCAGAAATCTTCCATGTGCATGTGTTCTAAGTTGGATGGGTAAGTGCTGGAACTACACATTTTGAATTCCCAAACCGTAATCAGGTTTCAAGTCAATATGCTAAACGTAACACGGAGGAATTAATTAAATCAATTTTGGGATTTGGAACAAATTCTCCCCACATCGAACCTTAACTAAAGAGAAAGATTGTGTGAAAACCGTTTGTCGAAAATCACGTCCGTAGTGAAAATGGTCGTTACTCAGTAAAATTGCTATCAAGCCTAAACGAATGAGTTTGGTAATTCCAGACCATCAGCCTTCGCAACTTTCTTTCTGGAACAAAACTAATAAAAATTCCTGAAGTATTAACAATATACTTCATGTCCGAATTATTTATCACTTGGACACATGCAAGAATTATCCGATGATAATCTAGTAAAGTAATTTTCATATTATATACCTCATCATCACGTGCTAAAGGAATCATTCTTACCACCAAAATAAGCATCGTTTTCAATGCTAGTGCCAAAACTACATCCGGATCGCTTAATGACACGCTATGAATGGTCCCAAGGTGCAAGACGACTTATTTACTTCCTTTTGAGGTTTTAGATCTATCCCCATAGCCATTACTAGCGACTATTGAAAATATCTACAATTCAAATTCATGATAAATATCCGATTACCAAAAAATTTTGGAGAGATGACCCATCGAAGCCGATTAAATTATTACAGGTTGTGCACAGTTTACGTACGGCACTACTTCAGCTTCATACCTGCTACTCGAGTGCTCAACAACTACAATTGACGAAGGAGCTAATTCCAAAGACAGCTGAAAATATATTACAATTGTTAATTGATGATGTCCTATTTGTTCAGGCAAGTAGAGAACGCAGTTAGTTAATTTCACAACTGAGTGCACTTTTACAAAAGGTGGCTTTCAATTGCATAAATGGTGTACAAATGATCGCTCGATTTGGAACTGCTTTGGGGTCGGAACTCAAATTCTTCATGTACAGTATTTGATACTAAATCAATAAATTATTGGGTTTGGAGTGGTATCCAACGCAAGAACCAGTTTACTTTCAATTTGGAAATCTCGAAAACAGAAAGTGTTCTACTAAAAGAATAATTTTATTTCTATTTCGAAAAA